TTGAAGGTGGTGATGGCTCTATGGAGGGGGGAGAGGTGGGGGAATGAGTGTCCAGTGTCAGGATTTCTTCAGTCATTGGGACTGAAAATCATGTTTATATACAGTTTTGAAAGACTGCACATGGGAGAAGTTTGCCTGCAGGGCTTTTTGTAAAAAAACAAAAACAGAAAGGCAAATTAATGTGTTACCTAAAGACCTATTTTAAAGCAAATCCCCTTCTAAAAATAAATGTGTAGATTACACCCATCCATAGGGGCTAGAGCTTATCTGAGCTGTCCGGTCGGGATTCTGTCGCAGGGCCAGCACTGAGTGATGCACAAGCATTTATAGTTACCAGCTGGAGAGAACCAATACAGGCACAGGAAGAAGATGTGAACCCAGCCAGTGGATTTAAACTGAGGAACTTGTTCCTGTGAGCAGTGATAGTGCTAACCACTGTGCTGCACCATGCAGTTCATTTTCTGCCTAAAACGAAATAGTGATTGATAACTGCTTTTCTTACAGCATTTTTAAAAAATTGTTATTAAATAGTCTTTGTTTTATCTTAAAGTAATGTTGGCAAATTTAGGGGGTTGGTTTTGCTCCTTAGCAAAGTCAAGCTCTGAAAGCGACCTCTAGAACACAGCTCGATCCTTTTTTCTTTGTAACTTAAACACACTGCTGCACGTTCCCGGGTAGACCCTGGTCAGTTCTGTGTGTGGCTTATTTAGCCAAAGTCACAAATACATAACAGTGGCTATACTGACCACACCGTTTACAGTTTAACTGCTGTTTATGTGCACTGCCACCATCTTGGATTGTTAAGCTGGGGTCAGTGGGGTTGCTTTGACGTTCCGAGTTGGAAATCTGACTTGAGGGCATGTTCCAGCCGTAAATTTCCACTTCAAAAGAAACCATCTTTATATGGAGCACACCCCTTCCACTTCAACATGAGCTACACCTTAGTGTTTCTCACTGAGCCGCAAAGCTGTGACATCACAATGTTGTGATTGGACAGTTGCAGTGATGGCGCTGGAACAGCAACACTGTATATATTGTTAGAAAACTACGAACACAGTGACATCGGATACACAATTACAGCACTGATGTTAGTTTTTGCTCTGATTTAGCATTTTGACATGTTAGCTTATTAGTATAAAATTCTGAACATGTTTTATAGATATTAGTATATTAGTGTTCGTAAAATAGCCCATCCAATATTTTTGACACAGGTACTAGGTAGTATTATAGTTCCTTAAATGTCATATAGTACATTTTATAGTAATTGTTTGGTATTGCTTGGTGTATACCAATCCAGGGTATACACCAACCATGGAGCTGGATCATTGAAGTCACTGAAATTCATCCTGTGTGGAAATATTGAGGATGGCTTTGAGAGTTGTCGTCTTTGTCTCGTCTCTT